AGTGGTATGATGAATGGACGGAATGGCCACCGGAACGATTTTCACGACACCGGATCCATGGTTGGCTACATCCCCGATGATGTCTCCTCCGTTCACTCATCCACTCTCGGTGGAGTTGGCCTTCCATCTGGCTATCCTCCCATGTTCCAGAACTTCACGGATTCATGGCCCGCCCTCCCTGGTGGTCGGCAGGCCAATGGCAGCCGTGGAAAGCGAGCCCCCAGCGTTGCTGGAGAGTCTGTTGCCGCTACGGAGTCTGACATCGCGACCAGCATCATCGACGGCAAGAGCATTGATCAGGGCGGTGTCAGCCTCGCTGGCTTGAGCATCAACGACATGAACAAGCAGCCCAGTCTTAGCCAGTCAGACCGATTGAAGCGCTATGTGGAATCTGGAGGACGCGAGCCCTACAGGCCCGGAGTCCCTGATAATAACAGCATCTTTGGAGGTAGCTCTGCTAGCATTCGTGTCACTCGTGGCGTCCCTGGTCATATGAACGATGATGACGATGCGCGCAGCGTTTCCACAGCGTTTGCAAGCCAGGTTGGGGGTAACTACGATTGATTATGATTATCCTGCTGTTCACCATTGAGAATGGCGCCTATTGCAGACAGCCGTTCCTATAAACCAGCAACCCAATGGTTCTTGCAAATGTTTGGGTCGCGTCAGTCATGGCTCGAATATTTGGACTCCATGCGTCTTTCGTTCGTCTCGTTGGACATGAGAAGGTCTCCTTTTCGGTGCCTTTCTTCCAGGTACCCAACTGATAGGAACATCTCTTAAGCTGCTAGCGGGGAGTAATGGAGATCCCGGGGTTATCATTTGTCATCACTTTTGATATCCCAGGGGCGAGTATCTCTTCTCAATGGTTAAGATGCGTTCTATCAGGTTTGAAAAGTCGCTATATCCAATGTCTGAGGAGCTTGTGCGCGGCTTGTGAGGACCGTCCAGAACCGTTCAATATTGATAGCACGGTTTGTTTGCCGTCGCCAATTATTTTTAGCAGCGAACGAGATTTCTGGGGGCTTATTCAGCTTCACGCTGTGTTCCACGGATCTCTCGGACATGCTGGACAAGTTCAACCTGCATGCGAACGATAGACAGCAGCGGGTCCATAATGCAGTCTGCCATGACTTTTGTTTTATTTCATCAATTCTTTACATCTGATTTTTGTTGAATGCTTTTCGTTGATTTTAGTCGGTATTGCCAAGGCGGTGCAGGAGTCGCCATGGTCATTCGGAGTGGTCAGAACAGCCACATGCGGATTTCTCTTGCGGTTGTTTCTCCAAACTCTGTTATCGACGTCGATTCTGTACTGTGTCAAAATGAATACGTCTTGCAATGCCGCTGAAGTGAGAATAGCCGCTACGTCGAAGACAAATGATTCCAACTATTCCGTTCGTTATTGTGCTGCCTTGATAAATTCCAAGAATTTTCTTATTCCTCGTACCGCTTCAGATAGGGCAGTGTCCTTAGATTCCTCGGTGCTGCTATCTACTGTTACTATGCTACTATTTATATATATTCCCCTCGTAGACGCAAACCTGTTTGATAAACTGGAACAGGCATCGAAGATTCTATATCTTGCAGACTCCGCCACAGTAGATCAAGCTTATAACATGCTGATATATAACGGCCAAGCATTAGTGTGCCCTACTCGTCAACGCTGCAGAAATATTCGGAGTATCCGTTGATTTGGGACGCTGCGCCACAATCAACGTCTAAACGCTATGCTAACTCCAACACAAACAATTCGGATGCCTGCTCAAAATTGCCGAAGTTGGAAGAGTTTTCTTTGTTCGAAAGAGACTATGGATTTGAGAATGACACGGTGCCATTGATGTTCATGGACCATTATGCGCCGTCGTTCGCTGGCATCTTATCCAATCCACATTAGGAACTGCCTGAAGACAAAAATAATACAAGCCAAGCAGCTAAACCTTGGTTCATTGACACAGTTCAACGCTATTTGCTATATCTGCAACTGTCGTGACAATGCAGCATACCAAGCCGTGCTGCACTATGTAGGTATATTCGCACTGACTTTCCTGAGCCTCTCCCGGAGGATAGTGGAGCTAGCTGAGTTCATATTGCGCATGCAGCTGCTCCTCATCGAAGGCAAACTTGTAATCCGGTCGAACATGAATGGTGCCTGAAGACCGGAATCTTCTGGCACCAATGGATCAACGAAGCAAGGCGGTAATGCCGACATGGGTCAGGGCTAGCGTCAGCAGCGTCAGCAGCGTCAACAGGGCAGCCCGCCATGTATACCACGTACACATACATGAGCTGGCTCCAAGCTGTGCATTTCAGCTTCACTTTTATCGCCATTGACAGTGAAGCTGAAACTGAGATCGCCTCGAAGCTGAGCGGTCAGTATGCGGCACGTGATTGGCGGCTAATCAGCCGCCACAGCTGTGGCGCTCACCAGCCCCATCGACAATACAAACAATCTCGAAGTCACCATGACTTGGGCGTTAATATCATCCGTCGTTGCCTGGCTATTCCTGTTATGATACACTGGATTCGATGAGTCACTCCAGTTACTGCCGCCCAAAAAAGGCTCATTATTAACCTCGCCTCAGTCCTAGAGTCCTTCTACTATACCCGATTGGGCGTATATACTAAACGCGCCCCTTTTCCGTCAGGCTACACCACGTGTGCAGGCAATCCTGGGAGGATCGACCAGATCAGACCTAACAATCAGCCTTTATCTCATCTGACTCTTAATAAAATAAATATACTAAAAAACCCGACTCTATAGAGTATATAAGAACAGCACATCCCCGGCTTGACCGTCTCCTTTGCTGCATATCGGCTAAACTACGATTCCGATCCCGAAGTGGCGGATACCCAATTTGATCTATTAGTCATTTAGCGCCTTGGCATAGTTAAACACAGATGCCTTGTTTCAACCTGAAAATTTTGGTTCTCAACTCTTTCCCTCTAAGGACTTCTACTACGCCACTGAACGACGCCGTTATCGACGCCGCCACGCCTTCTGTTTTTTATTTTCATCTTTAAGAGGGATTTTCTAATTATTGATATTACCTTTCCGCTCTTTCGACGGTTTCACTCTCAACACAACCAACCCTCCACTGTCAACGGCGGGGTTGCAATTGCGCTATGGGTGACGGGTCTGATTATCCCAGCCCACGAAGCGAAGGTCCCCCTGGACCTGCATCTATCCTCGTCACGGCTCAAGAATCCCTCTCTCCGGCAGCGAAGATGAACGACCAAATCCCTACGAGTTTTATGGAAGGATCTCGCCCGCGTCTGTCGGTGAGAAGAACGCGCGATCCGCCCAAGAATGCCGCGGGTCAAATCTACTGCGATCACCCTGAATGCCAGCAATCGCCTCCTACCTTCCGTCGCCCATGTGAATGGAAGTAAGTGCTTTTCTGATTTCCCCTCCCTTCCTTTCTAAAGGAACATAGAGCTGACATAACGCGTCTGAACAGCAAACATATGGATAAACATGATCGACCTTACAAGTGCATGGAACCGGGTTGCGATAAGATTCAAGGATTTACATACTCCGGCGGCCTGCTGAGACACCAGCGCGAAGTACACAAGAAGAACATCAATGCCAAGAAGCCCTTGATGTGCCCATACGCCGACTGCAACCGCAGCACAGGCCATGGATTTACGCGCCAAGAGAACCTGAAGGAGCACCTTCGTCGACGCCACATGCACACAGAGAGTGGTCCTTCGCCAGAATTGCCGAATATCATGTCTGAACTAGACGGTACCGCGTCCCTCTCAGCCCCTCCGGCCATTAAGCGGAAGCGCGACTCACTTGATGATCCTTCTATTGAAATGACCGAGGAGGAAGAAAACGGGGTTGACATGCGGAACGAACTCAAGAGATTACGACGTGAGGTTGAGGAGAAGGACCGTCGTCTGGAGGAACTTGAAAGGATTGTTGGGGGACTTCAACAAGCTATCCCACAGCCTCCTGCTCCTGCTCCGCATGGGGACGGACGGGTGGAGATTGCTTCGTGAGACATCATGCGTTTCTTTCTGACACTTGCCCGCTACAGTTCAGGTCTTTTTAGATCTTCGTTTCTCTTTGCACAATATGGACGTTCGTTGTCTGTTCTGAATATATAAGGTTCCTCGTCGGATATTCCAATGAAGTTACCGTGGCTTGGTTTGTCTCAGTACGTGGAATTGATTCTACTATACTTTCATTTCGGGAGGAATCGGTGGCTTTGAAAAGAATATGGCGTTTGCTTGAAGCCAATGATGCGGACCAAGAGGTGTTTCATGGATGGCTTGCTATGTTGCTTTTGTTTATTGGAAATATACCCAGGCGTTTACACTACATTTCCTTTGTTGCCATCATCCTCTCCAAAGTCATGTGTTGCTTGATCCATAGCTTTAGGTTGGGCTTTCTGATAGTTTGCAATGCGATGTGCTCTCATCTTTTACAGGTTTTTATGTGCTTACTTTTCTCTAATGTTTATGCCACCCTAAATAAGGTATATTTTCTCTGCTATGGATTCAAGGCCCAGGAAAATAAACGTAGTACTTTGTAACCCGCGACTAGTCATGTTCTCTTCGTACATAACAACATCGTATCATACGCATCGTGCCCAAGGCTCGATTCTCGAGTCGGTATCCGTATATAGTTAGAGCCAGCCGATTTTTAATGACTTTAGCCGTAGTATGACTCAATTCAATTAATTGTGATCCTATGCTCCATGGTTCATCCCAACGAATACGGGATGGCCATGTTGCTTTGCACTTGTGTCACCTGACTGGTTGCCTAGCATATTTACTTTGTGGCTTTTTTGCCTACAGCCATTTAATTTATGGCTTCGTTTAAGCACTAGAAGTTATACAGCCTCAGACTATTCATGGTTGTAGGTCTTGTGCACTATGCACAAAGATGTATAATTTCTTGGCACATGCAGGGTCAGCTGATCATCCCCTGGCCAGTGCCTTATTGCCTATTCAGACTCTCTGTTTCGTCAGCCAGGAACTGAAAAGTTGATCTCATTATTCATTTCCCACATTGTTGCGTGTTTGGGACAGAAAGAGAAAGGCTGGACTAACACAACTTAGACACTTCCATTACTTACTGGGGAGCGTGTCTTAGAAATGTCCTAGTCCTTGCAAATCATCAATTCGGGTTCCTGACTGGGCGGGCTTTCTATAGAATTTCGTTTGTTCATCAGAATTCTATTTAAGGGAAACTCTCCTTACTGAACTGGCTGAGCTCTTGTCGGGACGGGGAATTACTCGTATTTTTCTGTCGTCAGATTGCTGAGAAAAACACGCGCGCTTCCTACAGACAGTTACTCAGGAGAGACTGAAAAAGTGTCAAGATGGCGCCGTTATCTACCACCAAGGAAGTTCCTATGTCCGAAAAGCAAACCTCGCAGTATGTCCGCAGTCAAGAATATACGTCCGGGAAGATCCAACCCACTTTACCGGCATCCACTCTGCTATGCTTCGGTGACGGCGGGCCAGATACGGAGCAGAGCATCGAAATTACCTCTCATGATTTCAAAGAAGGCGATTTTGTCTGCCCTGGCTTCTTCGAAATGGTCAACCCAGATTGCTTCGTCCACAGGTTTCTCACTCAGGACTGGAATTATCAAATGAGAAGAGTAGCTCAACCGATCTTGCCCTTTCTCTATCTGGGTCCAATGGCGTGCCTACGGGATAGGGAATACCTCCAAAAAGAAGGGTTTACACTGCTCCTGGCGATTCGAAACCAGCGATCGGCCCAAGCACGCCTCGTATCCGGTGATAAGGCAGCTTCAGAACTGGGTATCGAAGCCGATTCCGTCGATGTCTCCGGCAACCAAGAGCTGATTACCGCATTTCCTCGTGCAATTCGACGTATCAACGACCACATTTCCAGTCAGGGCCGGGGCGGATTTGGATCTCCTATCCAGAGGAAGGTTCTGGTGTTTTGTGAGTCGGGCAACGAGCGCTCAGCTGCGGTGTTGATAACGTATATGATGGTCATGTTCAATTTGGATGCAATGACTGCGCTTAAGACTCTGCAAAATCGGCGCTTCTGTGTCAGTATCGAGGATGATTTGAGTCAGCTGCTGATGAGCTTCGAGTCGATTCTTGAGGCTAAGAGGGACGTGGAAAGAGTTAGGCGTGTATCCATTGCGGAATCAGATATTGCTCCTCCTCCGGTGTCTGCCCCAAAGAAAAGAACTTTTGATTCTCATGTCGATGAAGAAATGGAAGACGGTGTTATGGATGTGGATGGGAGCGAAGAGTGGGATGCTAGGAAGCCGATGGCTCCATTCCAGGACCGCGCATAGTTGCCTTGTCCTGAACAGCCATAGAAGCACTTTTAAGGATAAGTGAACTGTTTGCTATTAGAGTCTTGAGAGAGTCTGGCGCTCTCTTTGTCTTTCTGTTTTCTTGCCCTGGCTATTACCTATGTTCTTATTCTTGTTTCTAGACTTGTATGAAGATACCCTGCTGAAGACTTTTGTATTAATATGAATTTGCTGCTACTGTTTCTTTACAGTTTTTGTCATTATTGATGTTTTGAATTTATGACAGTGACTTGTTTTTGGACTTCACAGAAGAATGTTGACCACTTAGTCACCACCTTCCTCTTTTGTCACTTTGTCTACAACCAGATTGAATAACTTGTCCAGACTCTCAATTATTCTCTTTATCTGCTCCAGTGCATACCTATTGTCTTCCATTGACTATTGTCATCCATTAATTCTAAAAAGGCCATGTTTTATCTCCTGCCTGCTCCATATGATATCCTTAGCTACGCGTCCAGACGCGTCTATTGACAGATATCCCTTTCCTGAACGCGACAGTCACCAGGCGATAAACCCAACTCCATCATGCGGCTTCGAGGTACTGTCAACGCGCCTCAACGTTTGAAAGACGAGGCCACCTACGAGGAATGTCCGAGACAATCGCTACGCAGATCTAGGGATCCACCACTGCATCAATACGTCGACTACAATCCAAACCTACCTCCCGCTGCATTTCCGACCCTGAACGAGCCACGAGTTCCTGGGAAGAGGGATAAAAAAGCTTCCAGGCAGGGGAACACAATACAGCGCCAAGATGAGCCGAGACGTGATCATCACCCAGATAGCAGGATTCACAATGGGCCCGACAGGAAAAACACGACAACAGGAGTGAACGTGAGAGCCAAACCCGAGAAATTGCCGGAGGGCTGGGTTATGGCCGATGGAGACGATCATCCCATCGCCGTGAGCTGGGTTGCGAGCAATGGGGACTATAATCCCATCTACACCAGGAATATGGACATGATGGCGAATACAGACAGTAATACGTCCTTTGCGTGCCGTGATGTGGAGGAAAGCGACCACGAGATGGATAGTTCTCCTGATGGAGGTATGAAGGTTGGTTGAGCAGCTCTCTCGGACCCAAGATCTCTCTTGCTGACGACAGATATAGGAAGCCATCCCGATTCATGACCCTGAATGGAGCGACCTCTCCCCCAGAATCCAAGTCGAAATCGCCGATAGCCTCCTTCAGCATTATAATTGGCCTACGGTCGTTCATATGCTTGGTTTAACGACAAAGCAATGTGAGAAGACACAAGAGTATATGGCTCAACGCGAGAAGCAATTGGGCTTGGAGGATGTGCAACTACAGCGAATGCGGGAGAAGCAGCTCAAAGCGCTTCTGAGGATAGACAATAGCGCATTGAAACACGACAGGTCTCCACACAAGTTCGTGTTTCGTCGGGCCTCTCGACAATACGGCCGCAGATTATCGGACGCCATAAAAATGGACTTCTTCTCGTGCTACCCCGGAGAGTTGATGAATGCCAGGCGGTTTCTTGATAAGCGCAGGATAGACAACGGTTACGCTGGGGAATGGAGCGACGGTATAGCTGATTGGAAAGCAACCGAGGAGGAAAAGAATCGTACCGTTTCTGAAACAGAGTCACCGTTAGTGAATGCCTTTGCTTCAATAGATGGTTGTGCGGATGGGGCAGTCCCTGATTTTGATCTGCCCGCGTCTAAACGACCACACCTCAACATAACCATATATCCTGGACCTGCAAAAGACATATTTGAGCGCCAGGGTGACCCGGATCTTTCAAGACTTTGCAGTATCACCCACCGTGACGCATTGCTTCATCCGTGTATCAAGCCGCTAAAGGCAGTCACTTCACCTCTTCCTATTATCTATCACCTTGTTGATCCTATGCCTCCGCAGCCAAGCACAGAAAAACTCGCGGAGTTAGTTGTGAGGGGAAATCCGGTGCCTGTTTCTACGTGGCTAAGGGACAGACTGAACAAAATTGGATTAGAGGTAAAGCAGGGGGTCTCCAGAAGTCTTGAAGATAAAACGTGGGAGGACGGGAGCGACGATGACTGGCTATCTGCGTTCCCTTTAATGGAACCAGAGCCTAGGTCATTCGAGAGCCACTCGCAACTGACGCCCCCGGGAAAAGTTATCCTTGAAAGGAACCCAGACGACCTTCAGGCGAATGAGCAATTCTTGGATTTCGATGATATGATAGAGATTGAGGAGGATGCCACTGGTGATGAGGTTATGGTTGACAGCTCAGAAGTCTCGCGTCCACCTTCCCCGTCGCCGTCAAGCCTGGGCTTTAGCGACAATGTCCGGTCGGCGACTAGCTATGTTGAGACTACGCCTGAGGCTGGAAATTCTGATTGTGATGAACAGTCTGACGAGGATGAGGATGAGATGGTGCTGGTGCCCACGCCTACACCCTCTCCAACGAAAGGACTTTTAATGGGGAATCGGTGACAATTGACAACTACTACGGCTATCGACATCTTTCGCTCTTTGGAATAAAGTACTGCAGGTCATATAATCCAAATATTTGACAACGAGATCCTGATATGAAGTTGGAGGAAGGATACCATGTCTATGGCCGCGGTTTGTCTATCTGATTAGCGGGTAACTATGGGAGTGATATAGGGCTCGTTTTAAATGATATGGCCTACTGCGGCATCTTGGATGAGACCAAAACAGCCAGAAAATAAAAGAAAGAAACAGCTTTTACATCCTATGAATAAATCTTCAACAGTAATTATCACCGTGTACTTCACTCTGTAGAGTCAATTGTAGTATCTCGGTGTCCCTATCATCATTAGAAAATCAATAAAGAGCTGGTCCGTGCACCGACGCGAAAATCCGCGTCCAGAATTCGCGACGAAAGAGACGAACAAAAGACAAAAGAAGCCCCGTTCATACACAAAGAAGCTGAAGCTGAAGCAGCTGACAATCCTAGGAGCAGTCCTGGTTCAGATTGCGGAATTTCATTTCTTTGTCACTAAAATTCCACTCTGGCACTGCTCTCCCTCCCATCCGATGTATCACACTGAACCAGCAGCTGGGCGTCCTATCCTTCCCCCATAAATTTCACGAATACCATTCTGCTTTCGATTCAATTGCTCGAATTTACAGCCGACTGTGGTCATTGTACTGGCCTAGAGAAAACGATATGTCGAACCCGGACACCCCGGTTACGCCTGCGGATTCGCAGGGCGAGAATCAACCACGACCGCAATCAACGCAGCCATCGTCTACATCGTCCCCAATGACATACACTGATCAGGACATGAAGGATGCGAAAGATGCTCTTGCAAATGGAACTGAGGATGCGATCGAGGATGTGGAGGAGATGGATACGAAGGCGAAGGCTCTAATGCACCTCTTGAACACCAGTGAGGTATCTCTCCCTGCCTTATCATGACCATTGAGGAAGATGGATTGAACTAACGTCTTGATGATCGAACATGCAGGTCTTCGTGGCCATCATGGCGGACAAGATGAAGAAGCAGCAAGAAGAGGCGAGGCAGGAAGCGGCTAGATTACAACAACAAGCGGCCGCAGACGAAAGCACCAAACCTACCCCCAAGAACGAATCGACCGAAAAGCGCGGAACCCGCTCGAGTGCGAGATATTCGTCCACCAAAGAAGAAGCGGCCGTGGAAACTGCAAAGTTAGATACGGAGAAGCCGAAGAAAGGTCCAGGTCGTGGGAAGAAGGCTCCTGCAAAGGGCAATAACATCTCAAATTACTTCCAGAAGGCGACGGATACGGAGAACAAGCCGTCAGTGCAGGAGGCACTCGTTCAAGCTGCTGATGAATTCGAAGCCAACCCCACCGTGCTTGGTGAGCAGGAGCTCGTTGCTACCCACCAACCGGAGCTGGTGACTGGTGGTAAGATGAGGAAGTACCAGCTGGAGGGACTCGAGTGGCTTAAGACACTATGGATGAATGGATTGTGTGGAATTTTGGCGGACGAGATGGGTTTGGGGAAGACGATCCAGGCTATTTCGCTTATTGCGTTCTTCAAGGAGAAGAAGGTCTCGGGACCGTTTATGATTGCCGCGCCGCTGAGTACCGTTAGCAACTGGGTGGATGAGCTTGCGAGATGGACTCCTGATATCAATGCGGTTTTGTATCATGGGTCTAAGGAGGAGCGTGCTGCTATTAGGAGGGATCAGATGAACCTGAAGGACCAGAGGAGTATGGGTTTTCCAGTTGTCTGTACGTCTTATGAGATTTGTATGAACGACCGGAAGTTCCTCTCGCAGTATCAGTGGAGGTATATCATTGTGGTACGTTTTCTGACAATTCGCGTGATGGGTTCAATGCTAACGAGTCATAGGATGAAGGACACCGTCTGAAGAACATGAATTGCCGACTCATCAAAGAACTCCTCTCGTACAACTCTGCAAACAGACTTCTCATTACCGGTACACCGTTGCAAAACAATATCACCGAGTTATGGTCTCTACTGCACTTCCTGCTCCCCGACATCTTCAACGACCTCAACAGCTTCCAGGGCTGGTTCGATTTCTCATCGATGCTGGACAACAATGGCCAAGCGGATGTGGTCGAACGCCGGAAACGCACTTTGGTCTCGACAATGCATTCGATCCTGAAGCCATTCCTTCTGCGACGAATCAAGACTGACGTCGAGACATCGCTCCCAAAGAAACGAGAGTACATCCTCTATGCACCTCTAACGGTTGAGCAGAAGGACCTGTACCGTGAAATCCTCAACGGCACCGGTCGTCAGTACCTGGAGAACAAAGCATGGGAGAGGATCATGGCGCAGAACAAGATACTTACACGCGCAACGAATCGGAAACGCGGCGCTGACAGCAGTGGATCGCCAACCCCTAACAAGAGCATTAAATCCAGCCGTGCCTCCACTCCTGCTAGCAATGGGTCGGGCACACGCAGACGCAGAGGACCTCAGAGTTACAGAGAGATCAGTGACCGGGAGTTCCTTTCCAAGCTGCGGAAGGTCGAGCAAGGCATCGAGGACGAGCTAGAAATTGAAGATCCTAACGAATCCGAGCAGGAGGAGTTGGAGAGGACCAACACAATGAAGCTCGCAAAGAAAGAAATCGCCCAAAAGAAAATGCAGAACCCCGTCATGCAAGCCCGGTTGGCCTGCGACTCTCCCCACAACTTCTACTGGCCCTGGGGCGACAACCCAACCGCTATCGACGAATCCCTCATCACCTCTTCGGGCAAAATGCTCCTCCTCGACCGTCTCGTCCCGCGCCTCCTCTCAAAAGGCCACAAGATCCTCATCTTCTCCCAGTTCAAAACCCAGCTCGACATCCTTCAAGACTGGGCCACTCAACTCCGCAACTGGCACTGCTGCCGCATCGATGGCGCTATTAGCCAGCCAGACCGCCACGCACAGATCAAAGCGTTCAACACTAGTCCCGCGCACAAGATCTTCCTTCTGAGTACCCGCGCCGGCGGACAGGGAATCAACCTCGTCGCCGCTGACACAGTCATCCTCTTCGACTCAGACTGGAACCCCCAACAAGATCTACAGGCGCAAGACCGCGCACACCGCATCGGCCAAACCAAACCCGTCATCGTATACCGTCTCGCAACCAAGGGAACAGTCGAACAGACCCTCCTCGAAAAAGCAGACTCCAAGCGCCGTCTCGAAAGACTAGTAATCCAAAACGGCAAGTTCAAGAGCCTACTCGACACCGGCGCATCAGGGAACCAGACCGACGTCGATGATCTGAAAAAGGCACTTGGCGAGGATGAATTCGAGCGGTTTGAGACTGGTGCTGATCCCAGTTCCATTCTTTCTGATAATGATCTTGATATCTTGACAGATCGGAGTGAGGAGGCATATGCGCGTGCTGAGAAGGGGTTGGATCAGAGTGGGCCGGCGTTTTTGGCTGTTGAGACTAAGAGAGAGGGGAATGGGCTTATGACTGAGGTTGCTGGGAAGTAATACTAATTTAATGATTCCATCTCTCTAGGATTTCGTCTTTGGAGGGATCTTCTGATGGTGTTTGGAGGTTGTATCATACCAGGTGGATTGATTCCAAGGCTCTAATTCTTCTTTATTATCGATGGAGTTGTTATGTACAATAGTTATAGTATATCAATTTACGTTCAAATCGAAAATGCGAACCGGATCAGGCTGATAGGTCCTTTGGCAAACCATTCAAACCCGCAAGAAAATTATTCATTAGCGCCTGATGCTCCTCGCCAAAATGGCTATACAGAATAGCAAGACAAGAAAATCGGAAGCGAAGCAAGGAAACGACAATCAATGGTCCTGGTTTACAGGATAACACAGAAATCGCGCACTACCGACTGAGCTTCTCCTCCTCAACTTGCCTCCGCAGATCCGCAAGGACATCGTTCCGTTGCGCAAGATGGCTCCTCAATCCATCGACCTGTTCGCCAACAGTTTTGATATCTTCCCGAAGTCGCTCCAGGTTCTGCCCGTCCTGTGACCTGCCCACGCCTTCCCTTAGCTCCCGGTGTTCACGTTCCTTATACTCCAGAAGCTGCAGCGCCTCCTTCTTAATCATAGCCCAATTGGGTCCGCCGTCATGGCGCGGCTGGTCCTTATCACCCTGGGAAGCTTTGGTTGCCGACTCATATTTCTTCTCAATCTCCGCCAGTTCCCGCCTCAAACGGACCTTCTCCCATTCCTCGTCTTGGATGGTGTCGCTGAAGTCGGTGCCCCTTGGTTGGTATCCAGTTTTGGATCCGACTCCAAGGCGGCTCAGGTATGTATCTCCGAACTTGGACTTTTTGCCGGTTGGGGTTTCAGTATCGCCGTGCGCGCCCCATCGCTGCGCAGGGCGGTTGTTGTCGAGCTGGTAATCGATTTTGTTGTTTTCGAATGAGGCACGGAGAGAAGCAGGGATGGCGCGGGGGACACGGAAGCCTTCGTGGCGGTAGTTCAGGATGTGCAGGAATGCGAGAGTAGCGTCCTTGTTGATCTCGGGTGATGCAGATGGGTTAACAAGGTTCCACGCGAAACGGACATCGGTATCCGGGACGTCGAGGGAGTCGTAGAGGGGTTGTAATGATCCAACTAATTAAAGCCATTTCGTTAGTTTCATGGAGGTCGCGTGAGGGACGTGGATCGCGGCGTACAGGCAATTTCTCCCCGTTGGTTCTTGTTGGCAGTGTATATATCTTCGTATTTAGACTTATCCTCTGGGCTCATGTACCAATCGAAGCCGTCTTTCAACCCAGGGGTATCGTCCTCATCTTCTATCCGCTCGAACTCCTCTGGACGACTCAGCGCACGAGTCGCTTGAACGAGATGGGACTTGGATTCAGGAACGAGCCAGTCTGGAAGTACCTGCGGGACGCTGCGTAATTCCTACCCAAGCATCAATGTTAGCGCAAGAATTCTTTGCTTCTCCTCCCCTTGGGGCAAACAGAACGGACATCGGAGACGTAATCCGATCAGGAGAATAGCTAGCAAACATACCCCATTAACCAAGTCAAAGACCAGTCGCATAGCAACACAAAACTCCTCAAAATCAAGCTCTCCATCTCCATCCACATCAGCCAAATCCCAGACCTTCTCGAGCTGGTCATCGCGGAGCCGACTGTTCCTGAGCACCGAGGCCGCTTGGGAGCTATTCAGGTGTGCTTGGCCATTTGACAGCGATGCGAAGATCTCCCAGTACCGTTCAATTTCCCATTGCTCAATTTTTTTATTCGACATGGTGACTGTGTGATGCGAGGTAGATAAATAGGGGGAGCTCGAGGTGTTATCGCTGCGATGATGTCGAGTAGTTACTGTAGTTGTATGCGTCCCGCGGAGCCCAATGGGGTAGTCGGAACAAGGAAGTTCCGTTCAGGGGAAACTATTTGCAAGTATACAATGACGAAGTGCACCATATTCAAGGAATAACACAATGATTAAATAAATCTACAGGGTATTGAGAGTAGTTGGTATGTACGATAATGACTGCTGTTTATAGGTATATTGTCTTCCATTGCAACGGTTTATGCCATTCCCATAGATTTGCGTGACTGTACATGCAAGCGTTCAGATGATAATCAATGAGGGATCGTAATGTCGTATCTGGTTTTCTTTCGTTCTGCTGTGCCTGTTTGGTCTTATCAGGACTTCTTCTTAGAAGAGTCGGCGTCGTGCTTCTCATGCTGTGCATTCAGCTGCTGCTCGACTTGCACAATCGCTCGTTCTGCTTCCAATGCAAGCTCTGGCGCATCAAGTATCGAAGCCAATTGCTTAGCATCAGACATTTCAAGTAGCAGTTTGTCGTCGCTATTTTCCACAACGTCTGGGGTTGATTTCTCAGCATGGGTGGTCTTGAGGACACCCGAGACGCGCTCAGCGTATAATTTTTCGAGTGCGGGATATGGCACTGGATTCAAGAGATCCTTCTTGATAAGAAACTCCAAATACTTAGAGCCGTTCAAGGCTTGAATACCGTCAGTTTAGAACAAGGCCGCGGAACGGTTGGAACTCACCTCGCCAGTGGGACCATCCTCTATACACGAGATAAAAGAACGGGATATTGGGTATCCTGTTTATTTGATTAGTCCATGTCAGGAAAGTGGTCATTCGACAAAAGACGTACACTGGAAGCAACGCAATGGGCGCCGTCAGAGGAGCTATGATGAAGCTCCACCACATCTTGTTCCGATGCAAGTTCTGACGCCCTACTGCAATGGCATACAGAACCGGACGAAGCTTCTCTCGTCGAATCGCATTTCCCGGAAACAGCACGTCCACCTTCTTATCTGCGTCCGACTGATTGAGCCGGCGTTGGGCATTCAACGACGGGATGCTTTTGAGACCCCATTCTTCAAACGGTATGCGCCGTTGGACAACATTCCCCCATGACACCAGATGCTTCTTCCAACCCTTATCCGCTTCCTCCCACTTGGCCCATGTCTCCGCAGCTTTGTTGGTAATCCGATCTGTAATCGATAGCTTTTGCGCGAGATTCTTGCTCAATGGCTGGGAATAGATCAGAGCTCGTCTTGTCGAAATCGGGACGAGGAAGAGGCGCATCGCAGCTGTCGCCGTTCTATCGACAATGCAGGAGAATGCGTAGATGAATAGTAAAGGCACTGGTGTGATTCGCGAGGGGAGGAAGGGTCAGAGGGACGGGAAACTATCGATAGACGCGACAGAACAATCGGTCCAAAGAAGCGTGTACCAATGGCATGCCTTAATCTCGCTGGCTTCTTCCGATCTGCTTTTAATTCAGAATCAATGGATGTACTGAGGCATCGGGGAGGCGACGAAATTCTTGCTAAGTGACTGTGTGGGCTCGTCGCTCAACGTCATTCCACGCCGAAGCATTTCTATATCCGGTTAGTGTTACCGTTTACGGTATGTTTGCATTGTTGGTCAAGAGCATGGCTGAGTATAGATTCACAGTCACTCAATAGGAAAGAAAATATGAAGCTTAGGAGTGTCAAAATCTATTTTTTGAGAGGCAATTGTCCGTATTCGAGGGCGAGTCTCGAGTTGAACGTGGGCTGTGTATGGGCCTTGACTGATGATCTACTATGCCGATATCGTCCCCGACCCCTGTACAGACATAACCTACTCCTCAACGTGTGTTTTATGACAATCTAGTTTTTTTTTTCTTTTTTCTCCATGTTATATTGTCTATCTTCTAAAACTGTACTTAACCGTTTATCCTAATATGCCTGCTATTCTGACGTAGTATTCCGCCTTCTGAATCGAGTCCTTCCGGTTCGTATAATAATCTTAAGGTTGGTAGCGAACCGACCTCCCTTCCGACGACGACCCTTGCCGAAATTACTTCCTATTTTTTTTTTTTTTTTTTTTTTTGGTCTACTCCGTACGCATCCTCCCGGGCTTGAATGGTGGTCATTCGAAGGACTCGCAATTCGCCTTCACCTCCTCGTTTCGCGGTTTCATGAGGGACGTGGGCGATGCAGACCACGAAAGCCGCTATCCTGCCGCAACCTCCGAGAGCCCGACTCGATCTCACTGATTCAGTCCGCTGACGAAAGGAAATGGCGCATGATGAACACGACCCGACCTCTCAAGATCCGATTTCTCGTGACGCCTTGGAAGACCAGGTATTAGAAGAAGAAAAATCGTCTGCAGAACGGAGGACGGGATCGCTGGACGAGTCGCGCAACGGGCCTGACCATAACGCTCACCCCGTTGAAATTCTTTCCAACGACCGCAATATTAATGATAGTAAAAATGACGGCAACCATTCCTTTGCACCGTCCTTAAGTGGGCTGCGGGCATCAGAGAATTTAAATGCTGAAGAGGGGGAAAGTGCCCGTCAGTTTGGATTTAAACCACGGACTATACCGGGTATGTTCGGTCACACACGGGTTTTGGCGGTTTTGCCCTAGAGAGCTGTGGCTAACGCGCGCGTGTGCGCATACAGCATGGATTCGATCAGTTGAATATGAAGACGATGAGACAGACGCCGGTGTCACATCGCGACTTCTCCCTTCGCAGCCCGACGATGCTATTATCGCTCAACATAATCACTCGCCGTATACAGCGTCAAGACCGAATTACGACTATTCTGAACAAGCGGACGGCATTTACGTTGAGAAATCTACCACACCGCGTCGGGAATCGCGTTGGCAAACGTTTTCCAGATCAATAGCATATCCTCGTGAAGAAGGCGTTGAAGAAGAGCATGTGACGGAGGATTGGTTAAATGAGAACCACGCCGACTATTCTCAACCATGGCGAGGAGAGCTCGAGGAAAGCGAAGATCCAGAAGACCCTTTGAAGAAGAAACGTCGCAGGGAAATCTGGTTCAAGCGCTTCCATAACACGCTCTTGCAGAGTCCGATCGTGCCTCTTATTTTCCGACTCACTGTTTGGTGTTTCTCTCTGATAGCTCTCGCGCTTGGAGGATCTATCCAGCACATGTCAAACGAATATATCCATCCCCAGGGACCGTCAGCTCTTATGGCGATTATTGTCGATGCAGTCGCCTTGGTGTACCTTATATACATTACCTTTGACGAATACACCTCAAAGCCACTGGGTCTGCGTTCCCCATCGGCCAAGGCACGGCTTATCCTTCTAGATATTTTCTTCATCGTTTTTGACTCAGCGAACCTCAGTCTGGCATTCGAGTCTTTGTCGACAGTGAGGGGCTCCTGTACTTTTGCAGAAGTCAACCAAGAGATTACTCCTAAGAATGATGCGATTTGCGACCGACAAAAGGCATTAGCCTCTGTCTTGCTGATAGCCCTAGTGGCATGGCTGACTACGTTTGCAATCAGTGTTCTCAGGTATGCGTCTCCAAGCTATATAACTTGCATGGTCTTTCTGACTTTTCATCCCAAACAGGCTCGTCAAGAGGGTTGCTCCAGCGTGAAGCTGTTGGCTTTAAGCTTCGAATTGCGTGCTATATTCCATCGCATCTATTTTCCTTCTCTTATTGTCTAACTTAATTTACTTTTGGGCGTATTTTATGCTCTTTTTGCTATGTACATGCTTGCCTACTTACTTCTTTTGCTTTTTCTTGGGACGGCTGAACGGGAATGGCCTGGGTGATCTGATTTAGATCTTGCTTGGATATTGGCGTATCTGGACGATATACAAATACATAATACATGCCTTCGCATTGCTCCAGTGTCAAACATGCAACGCCGGCCCATCTGCACCAAACAAAGGGTCCTGATGAAACCAATCCACTCTTTCAATACCCTTGACCTTCTCTTCTTCCCCCTGTTTCCCATAACACATATCCCACACTTTATTCTTCGGGTATGCGCCAACCATCTTGAAACTTCCTCCACTGCCTAACTCGTCGAGAAGTCGATGGCTTACACCAGCCGGAACAATCATCAAATCCCCCATCTGAACCGTCGGCTCGAACCTCTCCGGATTTCCTTCCCCAGCAAAGCATAGACGAGCGCTTCCCGAGACAACCCCTAGTACTTCATGCGTAGTGGAATGGAAGTGTGACTGAGGGAACATGCCGTATACCCATTGCGGTTCGACCTCCCCAATGCTATTGAAATGACTTTTCAGCTCAGATGGCGAAGCGTTGAATGCTCCGTGATAGATGAGGAGGGGCTTGGATTGGATGGAGGTATTGGGGATTCGCTCCCATTTGGGGATTTGGCGAGAGGTGACTTGGATCTCGGACGGGGACCTGAACATCGTCGGGTATCTTAGTGGCCTGTGCAGATAAATATCAATGATATCATTCAGTAATTTTCCCACGTGTCAGTATGTGGAAGGAAGAATGTTCGTGGTTAATGAATTCGCCGTTGTATAGATCTAGTTAACTAATCCACCGCATGACGTCATTTTGTTCTTTATCAATCTTTTCTTCGTTTTATTGTTCTTCTTCTCTGGAAAACACAAGCCATATGGGATCTCTTGGGGTATTTCGGTATAGAATCTCCGAAATGTAAGCAAGGATGCATACAGGGGTGGCCTAGTATGCCTTGTTTGCTACTGATTGTCGGAGTGCGTTTGTACGACTGTACTCATATGGTTTTGGGCTGTATTACCAAACCTATTCGACGCAGAGCCGCAACAGCATAGAGAGGCATCCATTTTTTCATAATTTTGTTTAGACGGAGATTTCTATCTCCAGGTGTGAATCAACTGATCACGATAACGATCGATCGTCATCTATCTTTGAGCGCTACAGGCAGCCGTCCTGACCGCCTTCCCAAAACGTCAGTCTCCCCACGGCGCCCAGTTTACCAACCGCCACGCCTTTTCTCTCTCTCGCATTACCAGATTTCTTTCTGCATCCTTTTTCTGACTCACGGATCTGAGCTGATCCCTGAGTATTTCTGCTTGTTTGCTTATTTTGTGCTTTCACAGCCAGTTCCGGCCGGTTTTTTTCTTTTTTTTTTTTTTTTGGGTTCCCTGCGCGTGTCTTCCGATCCCAGCCAGTTTACCGCCAGCCTCACTACCCAACGGAGGGAGTTTTCGATCATTGACATTTGGAAACGGCCCGATACCCCTGGAGCAGCATAGTGAGGTATATATTGCCAGTTTCGGTCTCTTGCTGTCTTGCGTCCTGTGTATTCACGGAGACTTCGTCAAACCATGTCCACGTCTAAAACTAACAACATCTTTGGCGCCTTTCTCTCCAGGCCTTTACACAAACTTTCTTCCCTCGGTAGTAAAATGCCTGCGTTAATGCCCCAAACGCCTCACAAGGATGACGTTGATGAAACGTGAGTTCATCGGCACCGCTTATCGGGTGGTATGCGGCGGTTGTGGCTAATCTCTTGGTATTCAGATGGACATTCTTGGAGAAGGGAATCAACAGCGTCATGCTGAACTTGGATCAAGGGGTGGATATGAAGACTGTATGCTCCCTATGTTTTCCGTATCTTTCGAAGCCTGAGGTGCTAATTCGGACTCTTTTTTACAGTACATGGCCTTATACACGTACGCTGCCTGCCTCGTTCTTTTCCCGTCCTATCCTAGTATCGACTGACATGATGATAAACCAGTGCCGTCCATGATTTTTGCACATCACAAAAAGCAGTCAGCAGTGGCCAGGGTCTACAAGCACACCGCGGCGGTTCGTTTTCAACTCTCTTTCGATTTCTATCTGGCTTTGCTGGGGCCGTTTATACTGACGACCCGTGTAGCCCATCTTCTGGGCGAGGAGCTGTACAGGCTATTAGGGGAATACCTCTCGCGTCATCTCGACGCCGTTTGCAAAGAGTCTGAGAACCATGCCGAAGAAGCCCTATTGGCGTTTTATATCCGCGAATGGGACCGCTACACAACAGCCGCCAAGTACATCAACCATCTCTTCCGGTACCTCAACCGTCACTGGGTGAAGCGAGAGATTGATGAGGGCAAGAAGAATGTATACGATGTATACACCTTGCACCTTGTCAAGTGGAAGGATGACTTCTTCTTGAAGGTCCACGAAAAGGTGATGGGGGCGGTTTTGAACTTGATTGAGAAGCAGCGAAATGGCGAAACGATCGAACAATCGCAGATCAAGAGTATCGTCGACTCGTTCGTCTCGCTCGGTTTGGATGAGAATGATAGCACCAAGTCGACTCTGGAAGTCTACCGGTTCTACTTCGAGAAGCCGTTCATCGCTGCTACGAGAGTCTACTACGAGAATGAGTCGCGTCAATTTGTTGCGGAGAACAGCGTGGTTGAATACATGAAAAAAGCGGAAGCTCGTCTGGATGAAGAAAAGGCACGCGTTGGTCTATACTTGCACCCTGACATCACCAAACACCTCACAGACACCTGTCTGGAAGTCCTTGTCACGGCGCACTCAGACCTACTGCGGGATGAATTTCAAGTTCTTATGGACAACGAGCGTCAGGACGATCTGGCTCGGATGTACCGACTGCTGTCGCGGATAAAGGATGGATTGGATCCCCTGCGGGCCAAGTTCGAGACTCACGTCCGGAAAGCCGGTTTGGCCGCAGTGGAGAAGGTTGCTGCGGATGGTGAAAACTTCGAACCCAAGTTATACGTTGATGCGCTGCTGCAGGTACACACCAGATACCAGAACCTGGTCAATGAAGCATTCAACGGTGAATCTGAGTTCGTTCGGTCTTTGGATAATGCTTGTCGGGAGTTTGTCAACCGGAACAAGGTTTGCAAAGCCAGTTCGACAAAGTCACCAGAGTTGTTGGCTCGTTATACCGATTCATTACTCAAGAAGGGGTCTAAAGCTACGGAGGAATCCGAGCTGGAGGAGATGCTGGTGCAAATCATGACTGTCTTCAAATATATCGAAGACAAGGATGTTTTCCAGAAATTCTATTCCAAGATGCTCGCCAAGCGTTTGGTGCATGTTAGCTCGGTGTCTGACGATGCGGAAACCAGCATGATCAGCAAGCTTAAGGAGGCCTGTGGTTTCGAATATACCAATAAGCTGCAGCGCATGTTCCAGGACATTCAGATCTCCAAGGATCTTAACGGTAGTTACAAGGACTGGCAGGAGAAGGTCCTTGACGATGACGACCGTAAGAAGCTGGTGGACTCACACTTCCAGATTCTGGGAACCGGTTTCTGGCCACTCAATCCTCCCTCGACGGATTTCCTCGCGCCACCGGAGATCGTCAAGACCGCCGAGCGGTTCCAGAACTTCTACTTTGACAAGCATAGTGGTCGGAAGCTGACCTGGCTTTGGCAACTCTGCAAAGGCGAGATCAAAGCCAACTACATCAAAAACGCCAAGGTGCCATACACCTTCCAGGTTTCGACCTACCAGATGGGCATCCTCTTGCTCTTCAATGAGAATGACACTCTGAAATATGAGGACATTCAGAACTATACTTCCCTTGCGCCTGAAATGCTCCAGCCTAATCTTAGTATCCTACTGAAAGCCAAGGTTCTCCTTGCAAGCCCCGAAGGATCCAAGCCTGGCCCGGGGACATCCTTCTCCTTGAACTACAACTTCAAGAACAAGAAGATCAAGGTCAACCTAAACATTCAGATTAAATCGGAGCAGAAGACCGAGTCGGACGATACACACAAGACAGTCGAGGAAGATCGGAAGTTGCTGCTTCAGGTGAATTTTGGCTCCATATTCCTTGAGATAACGAAGATTTTAGCTAACATCTGCCCACTAGTCTGCGATTGTCCGTATCATGAAGTCGCGCAAGAAGATGAAGCACGTACAGCTCGTCCAAGAAGTGATCCAGCAGGTCAAGGCCCGCTTCCCGCCCAAGATTCCGGATATCAAGAAGAACATCGAAGCTCTTATGGAGAAGGATTATATCGAGCGTCTGGAAGGCGACGAGATCTCGTACATCGCTTGAAATTTCCCACAATATACCTCTTCTTTACATGTCCTCTCTCTCTCGTTGTGTTTAGCGTTGGTGTTGCTTTTTTTTCTCGTCTTCTCGGAAAAGAACGATCGGTTACTTTTGGCGGGTTACATCGACGAATCTTATTGTGTATTTCCCATAGCGTTGATATGACCAATGATAACCCATTTGCTGGCTAAGGGGAATGTCTGCAGACGTAGAATGCGCCTAACCTGCTATCATAATGGCGTTTGCTACATTCACCAAATCCCGGATTATATAGCTCATCCGATGACGGAGACCGGGGTTGAGTGTGGAGTAGGTTCGGATCTTACCGATCGAGTGATATGATTGATAACGTGGGTGATTCCTCCTCGTACTCCTTCACATATATAGCATGTCAATTGCAAGCTGCGGAATGATATAAGAGAACTGCCAAACCTCTCTGAGCAGAAACATAGGTGCTGTTCTCTATATCTTCACATCTTAAGAACTCTTGGCGCCAAGCTCCCCCGCGTGCCCATTGCGGAGAGACCCGTCTGTCACCCCATATACTGGATCTATATCGCCATGCCTTTAGCCGGATGGCATCATCGGGCTTTGCTTTCCCACAACCATTGCACTCGGGCATAGCACCCTTTGTGTATACCGTTCTACGGCTAATTCCCGAACCCGAAGAATACCCGGTCACTCTTCACAGTCTCTCCAGTTCCGTCCCTCTCAAGCACAATGCGAGAATAACGAATGGATTCAATCGGGAATGTCCCGAAATGAAGTCAATTGATTAGGCTTGTCTTCCGTGTTCTTCATCCTGGCTATATGCTGAGCCGAAAGAGTGAGAGGTTTAAATACAGGGTAAAGGCCCAGGGATTGATGGACCGGTGCGCCATATGAGCAGTACGTTGCTACGCTTATGTCCTCGCGATGAAGGTACTTTCACCATTTGTCTCGGTTGCTCTCACGCAAAGCACTTTGTGTGCGGCTCAAGGGTATACCAATGAGTCGGAGGTGCCGTACTATGGTCTTAGTCCGCCGGTTTATCCATCTCGTATGTTGTCAGCTTGAGATTCAATTGCATGATTTACGGAGTATATGTTAACTACTATTTGCGTTAAACTCTAGCCGTCGGAAACGGAACGACCAGTAATGCCTGGAAAAACGCATACCAACACGCCAAAGCCATCGTGGCTAAGCTGACGCTCGAAGAAAAAGTCAACGTCACCGGTGGCTTTGACGGCGCATGCGCTGGTAACAGCGGCGCCGTACCTCGTCTCTCGATCCCTTCGCTTTGTTTTCAGGACGCACCGGACGGGATTAGAGGCCAGGAGTTTGTCTCTGCGTTTCCTGCCAGCATTCACGTCGCGGCGACATGGGACCGCTCGCTGATGTATCAATACGGAAATG